TATAGGGTTTGGGGTTTGGGGGTTTGGGAGTTTAGGGGTTTAGGGGGTTTAGGTGTTTAGGGGGTTTGGGGTTTTGGGGTTTAGGGTTTAGGGGTTTAGGGGTTTTGGGGTTTAGGGTTTAGGCAACATCCCTGAATTAAGGAAGGCACCTTAAGGATATAGTAGGATCCCTTAATAGGACTTCAAACGTAGTCCAAAAGCTCTCGGATTTGCCAGGGCCTGGAAGACCTACACAGAGCCAGAAATCACCATCTGGAAAATAAACGTACGCCGCTGAGGGCTTATAGGATTTAGGGAGCAAAAGGGTGACAAAAAGTGAGAGACGAACGATGAAGCCAGAATGGTGTATTGAAAACGAACTCGGGTTTGAAGGCTCTTGTGTGCAGGGATATGTATGTATGTTAGCATGCATGTGTGTATATAGACACACACACACACACTGTTTCTGTCGTGTGTGAAGCAGAAGATCAAAAAACTGAAACATCAGCACCCTCACGTAGAGAACCTGGCACGCATCATACTTGTTCTAGCTTTCCCAGAGGGTCCATACATACTACCAGCATGAAGTGGGGCCCAAAAAAGCCATCGTGTTGGGGACCGATGTCCAGAATAGTAGAATATGTGGACCCTCCCGGTCTCAAACGTTTCACAAACCTAAGAGCACGCGTCCTCTTGAAACCCTCTTAAACTGGCCTGTGAGACCCACGGCTCTGTTTGAAGCTCCCTCTGCTCTTTCAGGGATACATGAAAGGTAGCCCTGTTGTGTATATATATATATGTGTGGTGTGTGTGTGTGTGTGTGTATATATATATGTATATGCCTATCTATCTATCTATCTATCTATAAGGCTCCTGTCGCCCCTCTTGAAGGCCTATGGTCGTGTTTATTGCATCTATGTTTATACAGGCACTGAGAATCCACTCTCAACCCTCGCGGCCCCAAAAGCCCCCCAAAGCGACCCCTTCTACAAACCCTGAAAAGATTTCTTACAGATCCATTGAAGGGAAGCGCAAAACCCAAAAGCCCCCGCCCCCCCCCCCCCCCCCCCCAAAAAAAAAAAAAAACAAAAACTATCCGACCTCAAGAGAGCCTTTCTGCGGCCCGAAATGCACGCCCTCATCGCGGCGGAGCAGGCGATGATCGAGGGCTCCAGGTGCCGGAGCGGCAGATCGCGGAGCAAAGACAGCACCCACGGCCAGAGGGAGCGGCGTCCTCTCGCGACTTTTACCGGTTTAGGGTAATAACATAATAATAATCATCCTCATCATAAGAAGAAGAAGAAGAAAATAAGAAATAGCTCTCTTTTTCCTCTGCCACCTCCCTCGAGAGACCCTTTGGGCTCCTGAAGCCCGGATGGCCGAGGTCGCATCGCGGGGATCCGACAGCAGATGCCTTCGGGTCAGCTCCTCCACCGTTTGCCTCAGGCGGCCGAGCTCCACTGTGCCCTTCAAGAATGCACCCTTCTAAAAAACGGATACAGTTCCCCCCGTCCGAAGCTGAGATTCGCCTAAAGACCCCGAGAACCACATCGAAGGTTTCCAAGGATACCCCCAAGATGTCAGGCACCTGCCGGACAATTCTTTAGGGCTGTGGGCCATGAGAACAAGGCTGCTTATCTTGGATGGCCGAGTGGCGCGACCACCTCGTCGGACTCGCTTTCCAAGCGCTGGAGCAGCCGCCAGGGCCTCTTCACCTTCTTCGGCATCCTTGCAAGGCATACCTCAAGGGAAAGCCCTCCACAGAGCTCGGAAGGCTGGAAGAGCTGCTAGGAATAAAAATGACTCCTGACCCCAGGCTTTTTCAACCCAACAAGCTCTTTCAGATTTTCATCAGGATACCTCCTATCACTGCTGCCTTCGCAGAGTTGGCAGCAGTGGCGGCTGATGGCCCCAACCGCGCAGAAACCAGTGGCCGACACGGATTTGTCGTGCTAATGCTTCGGAGTCCTCTCAGCTAGTGCAGCTAGTGCAATCGAGCCTTGGTGCTGCTGGCCCATCTGCGATGTCACAATCTCGCATTGCTCTCTGAAGCAATGCCGGCCACCCATCGGAAACCCCACATGACTTACATGAGTAGTCCATGTCACGCACTGCAACCGCAGATGCAAATTCAGCCGCAGACGTTTCTCCTGCAACGCCGTTGAAGAAGTAGAATTGCCTTGGCAGGGGATATAGCCGCAAGAGCCCATGCACAGGAGGACCGCGACCATGAAGGATGAGCTCCCTGCCCCATGTAGCCTTCTTCCATGGACCTGGGAGCTTGGCATCTCAGTGTCTTAGCTCCAGGTAGATTTCGTGTACACTGTTTTGGGGACACCCATCGAGACCCGGACTTCGAGGTTTCGATGTGTGACTCAGACTCACTCGGGCTCCGGCCAATGAGGGGGCAGGGGCAGCTCCAGCATGTGCTGCCTCACAGGATCTTACGGACAGTACCGCAACGTTCAGCCAATGCGGCAAGATTTCCCAAAGAAGAATGAATAAGGGGCCTCAACAAAAAAAATGTTGCACATCATGGCATGCGTCTTCAACAAGGCACCCCAAGTTTTCTGAACCTGGCTCGGGAAGGTGTTTTGCTGGCGCTGCCCTGGCGGCTCCGAGAACTCGAATCTTCTTTTATCGCTAAGAGATTGAGCTTGCAATTTCATGGTCCGCGATGTGGTTGTCTGTGATTTCCCGAACCCTTTTTGTTGCAACTGGCTGGCAACGTCACGCCAGGACAGCTGACTCATTCCAGGCTACACACTAAACTTCTAAACCCTGAACCCCAAAGCTTCTTGAACTCTTCTTGGGGGCATCGCCCGGCTTAGCTCCAGGCACGATCAGCCACAGCCTCGGCTCAGAGATAAACTTGCTTATCGTCTTAGTCCATCTTGTGCAAACATTCCGTAATAGATTATACCAGACCAGCATGTACCATAATCGACTTTACCATGATATAATACCATAATAAAGGGCATCATGTACATCCTTGGGTTGCGATCTCATGAAGCGTCGGCTGCGATTCAGGCTCCTGGCTTAGTGGACGCGTCACTGCTAGTACCTGACCTCCCCAAGACCCGAAACCGGACGCCACCCCAGGCGTCTGATCCCCAAATCCGCCACAGGTACAGGCACAGTTCTTTCCAAACCGCTACTTAGAGTCTCCGGGAGCCCGGCAAAGTGTTGCTGCCCGGCTCCTTGGAGAGCCCCACTTGATCGGCGAAGTCGGAAAACCTCGAGCTAAGCTTCACTTGCATTGCTAGGTGCGAGCTCTCGAGAACACACTCGGGACCGCCAGGAAAACGATACGATACAAAATAATGCAAAGACGATCTTAATCCTGCTAAAGCCCGGGCAAAACTTGGCCGATTCCCCACCACAGCAAAGCATGGATCGAGGCGGCTGCTTTAGTCGTCGCGGAGCCTCGACTACATTTTGCTGAGAGTTTATGGACGGGTTCAGAACTTTACGGCTTTGAAGCTTGAGGCTCAGGGAACCTAGATAAAACGGCATGGCGCCCATGACGCGGATAGAGGGTGAGGCTTGGCGCCTTGTCGCTGATCCCTTCACCCAAGAGTGGGTCTTTCGCAGATGTGCCTTGCCTGTGGCTTAGGGTTCAGTAAACCCCAACATGAAGGCCGAACGAAACCCCAAACCCTCGCTACAGCAGTGCCTTCTCGGCGTCCACCTGAAGATCAGACATACGTTCCCCAAAACCCTCGGTTCCGGACTACAGTCCGAGCAGGCCCTTTGTCCGTGCAGGTGTGGCGGATGCACGCCAGGCTGAAAATCCGGGGGCAACACCCCGAGAGAGTGATTAAACTGCTGATCGCCAGAAAATCGCTGCTGCAAGTTAGGCGAAGGGGGCTCCGACATCTCCTTTCACTCCCGAAAACATCCCAGAAAGCATGGAAGCATCCTCGTAGAAGCCACAGATGCCCTGGAGCCCATGGAAACCTTTCCAGGCCCAGGCCTTGAGCGCGAGCCCGGGCCCAGGGTGTCAACTACTTTGGCTAACGAAAACGACCCTCTGGGTGGGAACTTCTGACAGAACAGCATGAGCAAGCAACTCGTGTACTTGGTACTTCTGGCGTTCCTATCCAGAGAGAAGGGTGGCAGTGGAGCCAGCGTGGATCTAGTTCACAAGCAGGGCGTTGTTGGCCCTGCGCTCCACGTCGTCTGCCAGGCGCAGCAGCACGCGCCGCGCCAGCTGCCGGGCGAAGCGACCCGCAAAGGACGCGGCACCGGGAGTGATGGACCTGAGCGTCTGGGCCGTAACGGACCGAAGCTACAGCATGGCGGCCTGCAAGTTACAACCCCCCCGGCCACCAAAGTCGAGGAAAGGAATCCAAGAACAGCGCCAGGGAACGGCAGCAGCCCCTGGGCAATGGGCTGCAGCCTCTGCAGGCTCCGCACCGTCTCGCCGAAGTCGGCAGCCTCGTCGGTCTCGGCGGCTGGGCGGCGGCCGGCATCTACAAGCTCCGTGATGCGGCGGAGGACGAGCAGCGACTGCTTGTCTTCCCTGCTCAGGAGCTGCTGGTCGTCGGCGCCACCAAGCAAGAAGTTCAGAGGCAAGGCGAGAGGAAGCGCCAAGGGCCCCAGGGTTCGAAGCAGACGCACCAGCGAGGCACGGGAGAGTGCATCGATGGCCGCCACACCCTCCTCGATCAGCAGGTCCTGCAAAAAGTTGCCATCCGGGGAGAAGACCACTTCTGCAATCTCCCGCGTGGCCGAGTCGACCTGCAGAGCTTTGTAGGCTTTGAAGATTTTCGAACGTCTCACATCGAAACTGGGGACAGCAAGGCACGCACGGCCTCGCGCACCCGGCCGTTGCTCTGGCCGTTGCTCTGCTCATGGGTGCCATTTTGGCCATTTTGCTCCATCTGGATGCCACCGGCCGCCGCAGATTCCGTTCGGCTTCCCTTCCTGGGCCAGGTGCAGCAAAAAGCCGAGACTTTGAACTCGGCCAGAAACCATTCAGAAAGCTTCAAACCTCACCCAACTGCCGAAAACATTCCTTGGAGCAGGGACACACATGTTTCTCTGCGGCTTGTGCAAACGAGGCGCATCAGATTGGTGAAGTTGCCAAAGCCGGTGGCGAGCTCGTCAATGCGCGACACGGCGATGCGAGATCGGCCCTTGTAGAGGTAGGACCTGCGTACTGCATGTATGGCCCAGCACACAGAACTGCATGTTTTTTCTCCCTGTCTCTCCTTGTGGCATCCTGAACCCTTATGCCTTAGGCCCTTAGAGTGCAGGGCACACGAGGCCAATGCGCCTCAGAGCTTCTCGCATTCGGAAACTATCGTCGGTGATCAAGCGCCTGGCGATGTAGGGGAAGCACTCCTGCCAGGTCCACCAAAGTCAGCTCTCACTCGAACCTGAAGACTTCCTTGGGAAAATTCTCCTGGTGCTCCCGGGAACGCCCCCCTCAACACCCAACAGTCGGCCCTTGAAAACCCTTCATCCTTGACGATGGCGAAGTTCTCGTTGGTCTTCAGACCGAGGCCTCCGGGACCCATGCTTGGGGCCTGTCCCTCCTCCTGTCGTGCCACCTATGTTTGCACCCCCTGTTGATGAGGACGTTCTGTTTACGTTGCCCCCGCCTCAATGAATACCGTAGGGTGGGGAGGCTGCTGACGGGTGGGTGGGTGGGTGGGTGGGTGGGTGGGTGGGTGGGTGGGTGGGCGCACGTGAAAATGCGTATGTGTGTAACTCCGCGTGTGCGTGCATCTATGTATCTACGGTGCAGCGCTGCCAGGCCTCCCGCCCACCCCATGGGGTATCCCCCGCCCCCTGTGGTTCACTGTGGTGTGGGCCCCCCGGTCCCTCCCTCGAAGATGGTGATCACCATCCCCGTCCGCACGCTCCTCCGGTCCCGTGCTCAAGAGTCTTGAATGAAAGTCACGTGCTCCATTGTCTTGAATGAAAGTCAATCAAGCACATGCTCGGGCTGATTCTTAACGCGCCCAGCTGCCAACCGAAACTGAGCATAACATGACAACGGTCGATACAAACTACGAAAATCTAAGAAAGAACATGAAGCCAAACAAGCTGTTGAAACAAGTAGCAGCAAAGAACATGCGGCACCTAAGGGCAGAACAGCATAAGAACAGTGGTGCTACCAATAGTCAAATTCGGAATACCAGCACGCAAGAAGCACATCAGCGTCATTGTCTTCAGCATCATCCTCATCATTCTGATCTGTGTGGGGAGGGGGGGCGGGCGGGTGTTGCGCGATTTTGCGCGAGAGTTCCAAACGAATCGACAGTCACGAGGATGAGTGACTGTTTGCTCGGATGAGAGGCC